GCATGTAAAGCAACCGCTGAAAATGGTGGTCAGCCCCATTATCTTTTCCTGTGTTTTCGCTGTTCTACACAATAAGTGTGTATTAAATCACTATCACACACACACAAAAAATCCCCCAAACCGAGCAATGTGGAAAAGAAGGACTTGACATCTCTGTCTCACAAGTGAACTGCCAGCTGGGCCCATCACTCAGGCAGGAAACAGGAATTCAGCAAGTGGGCCAAAGGGAGACTCAAGTTTTCAGACAGGAAGCGACCTGGAATCCGCTTGTGGCTGTCAGAGATTGCCGAGTGCAAAGCTCCAAAGCTGCTGAGGAAAGATGATGCCTGCCTTTGTAGTCAGAAGGTCATCAGGAGGATTAAGCTGAGAGCCTAGCTTTGTGTAGCATGCTTAGTTCCACTGAAAGGTAGAACCAGACAGAACCAGCTAAGTTTAGTCTGAACTATGACATTTAGTGCCCCATGTGATCTAGAGAAAGTTATTCAGCCTTGCTGGGTCATAATTCTTTCATGGCATATAACCCAAATGTCTTGGCTCCATTAGACTCCATAAACAAACGAACGTAACATTCCCATTAAATAGCAAAATGACATTGGAGGACACCACCAACTTGATTGGGAGGGATTAGCCCACTAAAATGTCCCCTGGGGACATGTGAGGCTTTCCTAGGCACAGTCTTAGGTACACTCAGACACAGCCCGTGTTTTCTGACCTGTCACACTAATTTCTTGGCTCCTTAGTCCACACTGGCCTTCCCTTCTCCATCCCCCCCACCTTCTGTGGGGAGTACAGCAGGGGCCACTCGTGTTCCCTGCTAGACCATTTCAACTTCCATTAATCCCCCTTACCACAGCACAGACTGGGCTTATAACGTGTATCAAAATTTTACTGAAGATTCCTAGCGTAAAAAAATGATTAAAGAGGCACAATTTAGGGGGTACAAATAAACACTTATTTAACACTTCATGAAGTGGACAGTCTCCATTCGGAGAACTGCAAAATGGGCAGGAACACAGGAAGTTTTTATAGGATAAAGAATGAAGAACAAGGAAGAAAAAAGTAGAAAATATCTGATTGTCTGGGGCTGCACTGTCAACCGTGTTTGGAGTGAAAAGGAATAAGGAAGTAAGTGTAGAGCTCAGAGTTGGTTTGGTGTTTGGGGATTGGCTGAGTGGATATACTGAGTTTCTGGTCTAACAGAGCATTTACAGGGACACGAAAGTTATCTACGTTTTGTTTTGTGGATGGGCAGGAGCAGCTCCATCTTGGGCCTAAACATTTATTTCAACAGGTCAAGGGAGGGAAAAATAGAACACAGGATAAACTGTGAAGATTCCTTCCTTCCTTCCTTCCTTCCTTCCTTCTTCCTTCATTCTTTCCTCTTTTTTTCAATGAATAGTTATCGAATAACTAAAAACATCCACTATGTGCCAGTCATGTGTAAGTAAAAACAGATGTGGTTCCTGCTCATGGATCCTAGTCTAGCAGAGGAGACAGACATTAAATAAGTAATCACACAAATAAAAATCATTATAAGTTGCGAAATGCTTTGAAGAAAAAGTAGAGTCCTAGATAAGGAGGAGCTTACTTAGTCTGGGGATTTCGGACAAAATACTGAAGGCTCCCTTAGCGTTCAGAAGCTAAGGGGCTGACCACAGCTTGCGGGAAGGCTCTGAGGCAGGGACAGCCTGGCCCTATTTTGAGGAACTGAAAGGAGAATTGTATGACACCGGAGGAGAGCACTAGGTATATCACGGGTAAGCCACTGAAGGGTTTTAAAGCAAGGGAGTGACATGGTCAGATGTGAATTGCCTGAGTAGAAATGCCAACCCTCTGGGGATATACCAAAAAACACAGAATTGTATACTTTAAATGGGTGAATTGTATGGTACATGATTGTATCTCAATGAAGCTGTTAACAAAAGAAATTTAAAAAGAATTAGAAACTAGGGACATCTGTAGAAATGGATCTCAATCCTAAATTTCTCCTCACTTTGTATTCGTTGTACTCCAAAAAATTGGCCACAAAGACTGTCTGGCTAGGGTGACTTGGGAGGATTTATGGCTCTATTAATACAAGTCAGAATGGTAGATAGAGTCCAGCCCATTTTCATCTAAGTGAGCAGTACCAAGCAGCTGTTTCAGTTAATCATGATGACTGTGAAAGGCTCTAAAAGAGGGCTCAGTTTTCTCAGCATTTTAAAGGAATGGTCTTAATTTGTCAAAATACTTTCTCTTTTGAGCATTTTTCCTTTTAAGAAGACACCCTATATATAAGGTTTCTTGAAACCTCATTTACATTACAATTAAGGCGTTAACTTTAAAATATTGCCTCAGATCTTTTAAACATTTGTTTTCTGTTCTTTCAATCTTGATTAGAAACATAAATCATTATTTATTAAATACTACACAGGTTCAAAATAGCTACAGAGAAAGGGAGTACGAGGTTGAGCAGGTGGCAATGCTTCCGTTTTCACCCTCTGAGAAGGCCAGAATTTCTTACGGAAGCATTCCTGGTATCTGTCTTAGTCAGTTTGATAGTTCCTCAGCTGGTGTGTGTATATGTGTGTTTAGTTTCATTTGACAGGTGTTGTTGACTCTTAGGTTTTTGTAAAACTTTATTTCATTGGCCTTTCCAGCTTCCGTTTTACTGGGGTATGCATGCGGAAGTGTAATTCAGACGTAATGACTTTGTGTGGAGGCGGCTTAAATTGCCATGTTTTATGTATGAGGAAGTTGAGACTCAAGGATAATAAGGTACCTTGATTTGGTTGCCTCACCAAGTTACTGAGAGGTCTTCCAGAGGGAACTCAAGTGTCTTGACTTCTGTTTCTTTCAGTGAAACACCTTCATTTTCCAGCCTTTAACCTCTATTTTTTTTTCAAATCTTATACTTAGGAATAAATATCTTCATTGAACATCATTTATGTTGCTTTTTCTTAGAACTGACTTTAAGAATAGACAGAAGTGGTTTTCTGTGTGGTATAGATGGAGGGGGAAAAAATGGAAGATGACTTTCCTTTTGGGCCATTCATTTTCCCAAGTGACAACAACAACAACAATCCCATTTATTTCTCCTATTAGAATTAAATAGCAGTAACTAAAGATGTGTCCAGGTGTTTTTAACAAAAGGCAGCAAACAGCACCAGGGCTCTAATGGATTTTTAGAAGAGGAATGTCAAGGTCATTGGAAATGAAGTGTTTCAGGAGTGTCTCTCACATGGACTACAAGTCTCCTAATCTTGTTTCCTCTGTGGCCTCCACAAGATCCATTCTTTGCAGGAAAAATCTTTTTCTTTCTTTCTCTTTCTTTCTTTCTTTCTTTTTTTTTTCTTTCTTTCATTTTCTCTCTCTCTCTTTCCTTCTTTCTTTCTCTCTCTCTCTCTCTCCTTCCTTCCTTCGTTCCTTCCTTCCTTCCTTCCTCCCTCCCTCCCTCCTTTTTTAAATAAACCATTGGTGTCTCACCCCGTTTAAAACTCTCCAATGTTTTCCACTGCACTTGGAATAAATTTCCAATTCCTTTCTTGGCTTACAAAGCCTACAGGATCTGGCTCATGTTTGTTTCGTTCGCCAAGCTTATTTCCTCTTATTTTCTCATAGTTTCCTCCTCAAACCTAATTTTGGGCCTTTGAATTAGTGGTTTGCTTTGCCTGGGAAGGCAAGAGCCTGTTATGCAAATCACTTCCTAAACGTCTCCTCAAGGCTGCCCCTCAGTAGCCAGCCAATCACAATAACCACATCATTTATGGTACCTTCTTTGTATAGAGCTTAACACCAACAGATATTTTTTTCTTTCTTCTGCCTCTACCAATGAGCTCCCTAGAACCTAGACTTACTCGTCTTCATCGCTGCTCAGACGACAGCCTGGAGTAATGCCTAACATATGTAGGAGCTCAACAAACATTTGTTGAAGAAATGAACATACGAATGCACCCTTTCTCCCCTGCTCCTCTCTTCCAAACGGGGCAGACCGCTCAAAGGGGAGCCACTGAAAAATGCCTTTCTCATCTATCAGGTATTTCCACGCTTGAGGAATACATGTCCTTGAGGAGACTGCAACTTGACTGGACCTCTAGCCCTTCGGCTTCTACGAGGAAATAATCACACATTAGCTTTTCATCTAGGGCTTGCTTTCTCCGCGACGAACGCTTTTACTTCCCGATTCCGATACCACGTAAAGATCTAAGGGGTGAGCACTAGGGCCCGGAGATTCCGGGATGCTAATTGTTGAGGTTCGGATAGGGCCGCTGGCCTGGTGAGCTGTGAGTGGTCCTCCCTAGAGATGCTGGGGAGAAGGGGCGGAGCCACCCCAAAGGATAAGCTTTGCTTGGGCCGTCAGATCTGGTGGGGCTGCCGCTTTGGAAGGGGCCCCGGGAATCAGAGGAAAGCAAAGGCAGCGTGTGGCGAAGGCGTCCAGCTGACCCTAGGCGGTAAGACGAAGAGGTCGAAGGGATGGAGGCGGGGCCTGGAACCGAACCAGCCGAGCAAGCCAAGGCTTGGCATTTTGCCAGAGGAAAGGGTTAAACGGTTTCCATGGTAACGGGCCAGGAAGCGCGCAAGACGTTCGCCGCAGGTTCGTAGGTCAGCCTCGAGTTTAAAGCTCCCACGGCTGAGCGGAGTCTGGCCAATGGGGAGGCCGCCTGCACGTCACGTGATGCGCGGGGCCGCTCCGCCAGCTGCCGGGGAGCACGTGGGAAGGTTTTTCCTTTTCCTACTTTCCTTTCTAAAAGCCCACCCACTTTATGCGCGGGCTTGGTCACGGAGTTCTTCTCGCGAGAGGTGAGTATCACCCTCTCGCGAGAGTGGATGGGCAGCGTGGGGACTAGGTGGTGGTGCGGGCTGGAGCTGCGGCGGCGGAAGCCGGGTGGGCAGG